CATTTAATCCATTTAATCCATTTAATCCATTATAGTGAAATTAAATAATCGATGCATTTACAGTACAAATCCGCAAATTAGCAATCCATGCATGTGAAATAAGATCATAATTAATATGTACGTAATAACAACAATCCTAAGTCTTCATCATCTAATCAAATATCATTGGTTGAAATGTATTTAATCATTGGTGTGTTATGTTACTAACGCCTAACTATGGAACTGAAATCCTGGTGATGTCATATTGTGTGCTTTTCTCATATGATTTACCTACTCTCTAAATATCAGAATATTATGTGTTGCATGTTTATGTCGCCATTATGTTTTAATAGTGTATATTAAAGCAATATCAGCTGTAACTATCAATATTTTTTATTTTTATTAAAACATTTCATCAGTGTCAATTTATAATAGTCATCGCGAAATTTGATGGATTCATGTTGCAAAATGTCAATCATTTTACCATCTTGAGGGTCTAAGTCTTTAACCGACGGCCTTACAATGATAATTTTATGATTATTTCCCGTAATGTAGGCATCATGGGTCGTAATTTCCACATTACGTAACCAATGGGTAATGCATTTCAATGACAGATTTAATAAAATAGCTTAGGTCCTTTGCTAGAACCATGGATAAATATGGATTTTGACCTAATAATCACGAAAATAAACAATTAGGAAAATAGACAAATTAATCAATTTCAAAACTGAAATGTCTGCCTTGAAAAAACAAAACTACGATCACATTGTCTGACAATCATTCTGATCTATCTGATATACTTATTTTTTCCTCTTAGAACCCAATGCTGTGGTTCTTGAAAGCGATGATGATTTTATCGCAACTGATACAATAGCTGTTACATGGAGTAAACCTGAAGGTGAAGTTAGTAGCTATACTGTAGAATGTTCAAATAATGGAACTGGAGGTTATGAAGAAATAGATGGTGAAACTGGGAAGTTCCGTGGTATATGTATTGGATATGGTACGGCTGGAAATCTGGAAACTATTACAGTAACTGCTGTCAGTGGTAACATATCAACAACTGGTACAGAAAGTGACCCAACATCAATCAGTCTGAATACAAGTAAGTAAAGTTTAATATTTCGACCATGCAGGCGCAGCCTGAAAAAAGGAACAACTTATTGAGTCACTATAATTGCAACCTTAGTGAAAATTGTATTTATTCAAGATAAGGTGAGAAAGGAAGATTTTACTAACTGATATCTAGTGGAAAAACTATTAATGAGTGATTTTTTCCATGTAGTTCATCAGTTTCATTGCCATGTTCATACTTTCAAAACAAGCTTTTTTTCCATTCTTGAACTAAATTGTGTAGTGATGGTTCCCTCTCTATCAATTTAGTGAATTCACTAGCATGAAGTGACACGTATGTACAACTATCTGTAATTTCCATGTTTTTCATCATTTCCATTGCCATGTTCATGCTTTGAAACCATTTCTAAGAGAATTTAAGTATCGCTTCATGGACGCATTTTGACAGAGTCGTTAGATTTTGAGTCTCCCCATGCACTCTTAAAACAGCGACTTATCTATGTGCTTGCATATGTCTGTCAGTCTATGTGTATATACCTATATTCCATATATTCCTTGCCTGATCACATTCAAACTGCACACATATCCTATACCTCAAGATACATATGCATGTCCACTGAACTGATTTCACGAATATCTATATATCATAAATGAATGAGTTCTGTTCAAACTTACATTGGACTTCATGGTACGTGGATGCATATCAGTGTGCTATTCAAATATGACTCGAAATAGCTGACTTATTCCTATGAACGTGATTTCAAAGCTGTATCCCTGACATATGTTGTTCCACATATGCACATTTATTTGTTTGACCATCAGATTCAAGATGGCAGAATGGTGGCCATTTCAATTTTAAAATTCATCAAAACAAGATTTTTTCCATTCTTGAACTAAATTGTGTAGTGATCCTCACGCATGGCGCCAAGTGGCGTATGGGCCTGCTGCTGCTGATTTTGCACTGTCAGTTTTGTTTTCTCAAAATATTTTTAATTTTCAAATATACATATAACAAATGAACATACATGTAATATAATATTGTAAATTTGTGAAAAAGTATTCAGTAACACGTGTGCCATCAGCATGGCATTGTTTATGGTTAAGGAATTTTTAGGGGATTTATAGGGCGGAGGTCGTCGCTCTGCACATGCGCGGAATATGGGTCTTTTATGAACAAAGATTGCGACTCTTGATTATGCATAGAAATTTAGACATTACTAAGCTTTAACCAGGTAATTTCTTTGGTGATTGGAAGGTATCAAAAGAGTCACTGGTTTCATTCCAAAGATAGTGCATTGGATTTTTTGAAAATGTTTATCAAAACAAAAATGCGCCGCACACTGACAATCACCTCTTAAAGAACGATGAAGTTATTATAAAATCTCTCTAAAACTGTTGACAATTTACCAAGCTCTCGCTGATTTTGATTTCAGACTCCATCAATCTTTAATCAATAATTGGAATTCAATGCTCACATATGACATAGGTGTAATCACATTTTCGTTTATAATGTACTATAACATGACAGCATATCTTTGTAGATTGTTGCAACAGTGTGGTATGCATACCTAATAAAATAATAATCATTGACAATATCTATATATATTTGGTAATAAAACTCTATATTTCTCTACAACAACTGAAGGTGAGGATTCAACAACAGAAAGTGTGGAAACAACAGATGTAGTTGAATTAACAACAATAGTTATAGATACAGCAATGTTCGCAACTACAGAAGGTGAAGATGGAACAACAGTTAGTGTTATGGAAACAACTAAAGGCGATGATAAAACAACAGAAAATCTTGTGGAAACAACAGATGCAATTGAACTAACAACAGTTATCGATAAAACATCATTCGTAACAACAGAATCTCAGGATGCAATAACTGAAAGTGAAGATGCAACAACAGGAAGTGTGAAAACAACAGATGCAATTGAATTAACCACAATAGTTTTAGATACAGGATTGTTTGCAACTACAGAAGGTGAAGATGCCACAACAGATAGTGTTATGGAAACAACTAAAGGTGATGATGAAACAACAGAAAATGTTGTGGAAACAACAGATGCAATTGAACTAACAACAGTTATCGATAAAACATTATTCGTCACAACAGAATCCCAGGATGCAATAACTGAAAGTGAAGATGCAACAACAGGAAGTGTGAAAACAACAGATGCAATTGAATTAACCACAATAGTTTTAGATACAGCAATGTTTGCAACTACAGAAGGTGAAGATGCCACAACAGATAGTGTTATGGAAACAACTAAAGGTGATGATAAAACAACAGAAAATGTTGTGGAAACAACAGATGCAATTGAACTAACAACAGTTATCGATAAAACATTATTCGTGACAACAGAATCTCAGGATGCAACAACTGAAAGTGAAGATGCAACAACAGGAAGTGTGAAAACAACAGATG